TTTTTACTGACATATGTCAGATTAATTGACGACATGTAAATACAAACAGAAGGAGACACATATACCTCTACATACTAAATAGAACAAATTAATGAACATAATTTACCTATCAAATATTCTAACGAGACAGTATAGTTTATAAATGAAAAAGTTAATTAACAGAAATGGGAGTTCTATCCAAGAAATGACAAGTACAATTACAAATAGTCAATTATAGGAAAGTGAGTAAATTAATGTAAACTTGAATTACTGTTTAATTCAGCAATCTTGATTGGAATTCTTAATATCAATGATAGAAACTTATCCTTACCAATTTGAGCAATTTAAACCCAGTAGATCAATGGATAATGGATTAACGGTTTGAAGATAAATATTTCATTGTAAACATCAACACTGAGACTTAAGTACACTTAAATGATGAATTGTAAATATATTGAGTTACATTGTTGAACACATTACGTACTACAGTGTTTGCTATAACGCTATATCATCGAAATAATCTGTTTAAAATGATAACATGGGACTGAATCTCCTGACGTTGCTCCATTGCCTTGTGAATTAGACCTTTAGGTCAAAGACTCTAGGTGTGGCCCCCTAAGAAAACCACTTGCTTCAGTTTGGGCACCCGGACAGTATCCCAGCCCTCATACAAATCGAATGATTTATGTGGCGCATCTATATTTGGTGCTTCCTTGTACCAATGTTTATATGTTTAAATAAATAAATGCCATTTACTTGCTTTTATTTGATAAATAGTAAACAAATAAAAATGTTTACAATTAACCAAATTCAACTTCATTATTTCCATATCCACAATTTGTGCAAAATTCAATGAAATTCTAAATGAAATTAATTCATGATGTAACGAGATGATCAACCAATATCATCAGTAAATAATCAATAAATAAACTTAAGCATTAGGTAATTGGATATGAATCATACTGTAAATGTGACGTTGAATAGCATCATTTAGTTACTCAAACCGAAGTAGGTAAGGTAGGGTTTGAACGTGAGACTTAGTGGCGGAAAGTCGGATGTATTAATCAATAAGCCATTGTTTCACAAAAAGGTTACAATGTCTTATAAGAACAGGATTTATTTGAAATATTAGAGTTTAAATGAGAATTTGGCAGACAGTAACTTGCAAATGAACTAAAATAAGAATTTATTACATAACTTTGGGTTTTGTATTCGTCTCAAGTTGATCTCAGTTGAGGTAGCATTGGAAATGAGGCAGTATTGGACACCTGCTTCGTCCGAGTATCAAACTCCTCAGTTGTGCGTACCCACAACCCCTCCAGGGATCAAAACCAGAGTTTTCAGACCATGTGGTGAACGCTTAACCATTATAACTGAGTCGGGGTCTAATGGTAAAATTTCAACTTTAATCTAATTGCGATGTAGAGTACAGAGTAAATTCCAACCTAAGTAAACTGTTAATAAAAGATATTTATGGTTTGGAATCAATACAGTATTTGCAAAATTAATTTTCTTTATTTCGACTATTCAGGTGTAATGAGTTTTGAAGATCTCGAGGTTTGAACCATAACACAGTCATGGGTGCCTACTGCTGAGAAGTTGCTTGATAAGATGGTACAGCTGTCCAGTGTAAACCTAGTTTACAATAGTACCTCATATGAGATCAACATGTAACGAATACAATCTACAAATGTAAATAAATCTCAATTAAATCCCATTAATTAAAATAATATGGAAACTATAAGCAAAGATGGATAATGGTTAACAGTGCGATCCAGTATGCGTGCTTCATCCTAAATGGATAACGCGATGGGGTTTGAAATGAACGATATTGGGTTTGAGTCCATCAGTGAACATCAACTCTGGGATGCAGGTGAATCAAACTGACGAGTCCCAAATAGGACGAAACGCGCGCAAACTGGATTCCACTGCTAAACCACCATCCATCTTTGCTTAAGTCAATATCGAGGTAATCTACACAGGATACACGTATGCCAATAAGAGACTGATCAATTTCAGATTCAAGCGAATGATACAAAATGAATTGAACATGGAAACTATTATAAAATTCATAAATAATAATCTTACATTGAAGTTAATTAAGATACAGTTACAAACTCATTGATCATATTCTATACTAAAAGAAAATACTCCATATCAAATGAAAGGAACTATTTGCAGAGAAGAAAAAACATAATATATTGATGATAAACACAAAGAAAATTCTGTTAAAACGTTTAGTTACAATCAAGTTACCGATTTAAAACATAAATGAATAAACAAGCTGATTACGATAACAACAAATAATTGAGATGAAGTAAATAAAGGAGATAAGTGGCTACAATAAGTATGCCTACTTAACGAATTAAGAAAGAAAAAAAAAATTAAATCTTCCACAATGAACATTGAATACATTGAAAGAAAAAATAAGTGAAAAGGAAATTCAAGCTAGGATCATGATAAAAATGATAATGAAAATAGTTCTACACTTATTAACATTAAGTAGTCAATCCTGATTAGTACCATTCTTTATGATGAGATCGAATATTATTATCCGGTTATTCCAACAACCAGAATACATAGAGCAATGTTTGAACATATAATTAGCTTCAATGGTTAAGATCATGAGTCAGTTGAAGCTAGTGACCAGTGGAGTTCAACCAAGTCTGTTGTGGGATAGTAACTCACTGGAGACAATGGGGGATATGTCGCTCAATTTCGTGGATTAGTTGAAGTTAGACATTAACACCGTTGGATGCTGGCTCAGTGGTCTAGTGGTTAAGTGCTCGGGCGCGAAACCAGTAGGTCCTGGGTCCGAATCTCGCAGGGGGCGAGGTCGTGGATGCGCACTGCCGAGGAGTCCCGCAATAGGACGAGTCCCACAATAGGGCGGAACGGCCATCCAGTGTTCCCAGGTTTTCCATGGTGGTCTAGCTTCAACTGAGTCATGATCTTAACCATTGAAATTACCACAATCTCCACAAAAACCCATCTGATATAATTAGTTGATAATCACTGTTCCTATTAAACATGATTACTTTATATTTCTAGAAATATTGAAAAATGGTCATCATATAACATTGTTTCATAACTTATATATGCCCAATAAACGATTATTTCAACGGGCAATAATGGTTGGTGTAGGAGTAGGTTGAAAGACAGACACGGGCAACCAAACCAATAAGTGGCATTAGTCCATGATGTTACTGACAACTAGACTGTCATGTTATAGATGTACACCACTTGGTTAAAGTTCGTGTGATAGTTCCTAAATCCCGAAATTTATTTATGATTTCTTTCTACTCCTAATCTTTTCTACTACTAATAATATTATTACAACTTTACTACACTAGGATTTGTCTTGAAATAATTTCATTTTTCTGTGCTAATATGGCATAGCAACTTGAACCGATGTATATATGTGCCAGGTTTTACATTATATATGACTACCTTTTTTCAGACATTTTTTAATCGGTAGATTCTCGTAATGGAAAAAAATTGCCAACTTTAGGGCTCAGAATTACTTGAGAACTTGACTATCATAGATGTGAATTTTAGTCAATCTACCTGGAGGATTCAAATGACAGAGTTAATTACCTAAATTCTCATGATATGTGATTATTGGTGTACAATCATATCGGGCGTGGGATATATATCACCAATGAGAATAAATGATATTCACACAGTGTCGACAATTAACCAAATTTAGGAACGTGAACTGTTGAACAACAATTGATTAGCCTGAAAGTTAGGCGCCCACCATGAAGCTTGATAGTCTTAGGTTTCATACCCAGTGGGTTCGTTAGTACGCAGCAATGAGGAATTCCATATTTGCTCACTTACTTACATCTTTTACCTTTCGTGGAGGAGCATAGACCACCCCTAGGAGTCTTCCAACCAACTTTATCCTGAGCTCTCCTTTCTAATTATTTCTAATTGCTATTCATTCTTTTGATGTCCACCTTTAATTCCTTACGTAATGTGTTCTTGTGTCTTCCTCTTTTCCTTATGCCTTCAAGATTCCAAATTAGGGCTACTTAAACGTAATAGCTGTTCAATGATCCTGGTAACATTTTACGTTAGTTGAACAATAAATATGTGTTTCATTGAACATATTGATCTTTTGTTTACATTTCAAGTTATTCACATAAAACAATATTAAATTCACTTGATGTTGTTTGTTTGTATCTTGCCATTGTTGTTTAAGACTGTAATTGATCAGTCTCTTATTCACATATGTGCATATGTGGCCTATACTCTTCCACAAGAGGTATTAGGCGTAGGTAAGTCGAACTCAACTTTAATCCATCCTTTTTCACTACAAAACATTCACAATTATTGTTATATTCTAAAAGATTAACACTGCTTTTTCTAAGTTATAAGCAGCTAAAGAGATGCCTTGAAATTAATGGATTCTCAAGTTATCCTACTGATATTGTTATTATTGATGCATATGTGAAGGCGCAGATCGTAAAGCATGAGCACCATATTCACAACGGAAGAAACATCTACAACTCAAAACAACTGTCCACAAGCCAACACCAAAGTCAGCATTTTCAATACATATGTCAACACAGTTCTACTGAATGAGGTGGAAACTTGGAGAACTATCATCCAGAAAATATAAGTGTTTATTAACAGTTGTCTACGCAAAATACTTCGGGTCCGTTGGCCAGACATTATCAGCAACAAACTACTATGGGAGAGAACAAACCAGATCTCAGCAGAGGAAGAAATCAGGAAGAAGTGCTGGAAGTGGATAGGACACACATTGAGGAAAGCACCCGAATACGTCACAAGACAAGCCCTTACTCGGAATCCTCAAAGCCAAATGAAAAGAGGACGATCAAAGAACGCATTACGTCGAGAAATGGAGACAGACATAAGAAAAATGAACAAAAAATGGACAAAACTAGAAAGGAATGCTCAGGACAGAGTGGGAAGGAGAATGCTGGTCGGCGGCCTATGCTCCATTGGGAGTAACAGGCGGAAGTAAGTAAGTAAGTAATGATGCATCATTATTATTCAAGACACAAAGATGTTTGCTAAAAATTGTGATAAAAAAAAAGAAGAGGGAAAACAAAACTTGAAAGTTTTCTTTTTTCATTAGTATCTTTGTCAACTTTTTCACCAACATGAAAAATATAGATTATGATTGATTACTATTTTTTATAAAAGAGAAAATCTTAAAATTTATCAAATATGTCTAGACTACTGAATTGAGGTCTTAAAAAGTAGGATTGGTGTATGTAATATTTCAAGAGGAAAAACAAACAAAAGAGATGATGAATATACTAAGGCAATTTTTAAATAAACTGCATACGCAAAGTATGCACATATGCCGATAACGCACTGATCCAATTGCAGTCTTAAACCTCAATGGGAAGATACAAGCCAAATAATACTAAGTGAATTTAACCATTTCATAGATTTTACGCTATATGAAATTGATGTTTCCTTTTGAAAATTAACTTATTAAGTAGTGAGTAATGTTGTTATTAAATAAAATATGAAATGTAGTCAAAATATAATCGAATACGTTACAGATGTTCGCCTACAAATCATTCTTTTCTAAAGGATGATCTAACTACCAAAGACATTCCAGTTAGAATAAGCAGATGATATAGTTTTGTTTGGTATAAACGTTGACAAAATGGAAGCATTCTGATTGTTTTGAATGACAGCACAAGCATATTAGGGATGTTTCTCACCTTTTCAATGCAAAATGGTGTATTTAGAACCGATTTGCTTCAATGCCTGAACTAACAATAAGGAGTGAAGTAGTTGGATAAGTTGACTATTTCACTTCTCTTGGAAGTCTTGTTAACCCTAGAGGAATGGTTTCTGGTAAAATCGAGTATGGAATTCAAAAAGCCCAGTAAATTTACATATAACGATTATAAATAATGGTGAGGAATTTGAAACAATTCACCCCATAATACTATGATTGGTTGAAATATAGATTAGAGAGAATTAATTAATTTGATTGAGCCTTGAATAGTCTTTTCTAGTCAACAACAGAGTCGGGTACGTACAAAAGATGATATACCACTTTCAGGTCACTTCATCCATCAGTTTACTTGATATAGAGCAGATTATATTGACCGTACAAATCACTTTTTTGTAAACGTATTTACGAGTATTAAACTGAATGGTTGCCAAAACATGAATATACTTGCACACTTCGTTAACTACGACAAAGTCTCCTCGCCAGAAGTATCCTTCAAAACTATCTACAAATTTAAATAAACTAGCCTAAACTTGTGCACATTAGTGGGTTTATCAATTGAGGTCTAACCACTATGTTTCAAAATGACCTGTTCTACCCCATAACATATCATGATCTTAACTACCTTCCATTATTATTACTACCATTATTATTAATAGTATCATTGTGTATTAACATCCGTTCGTTTCCTCTTCACCTCTGTATTCATTAAGTAATATACGACTACATAATTATACTTAAAATGAAGTGCTTAGAGCATAGTACAAAATGACTGTAAAAAAAGACTGAAAAATTCATTGTTTAGAACACTAAGAAACTATCTCATTACATTGAAATGAAGTTATTTCGTTCTAGTAAGTAGTATTTATGAAGAGAATTAAAGAAAAGTATATGAATTATAAAAGTCATTCAATATAAACTTAGTCAGTTTAATAATAAGAAAGAAAGCTGTTTAGGATTAGAATCTGTTAGTCTATTGTAGGGACGGTCTTCGGCGAACTCAAGGAATCTCTGAAAGAGTTGAAAACATTCCATCAAATCATCTTTTGAAAAGACATTCCCAAATATTGACATGTAGCTTCCCGATTGGAAAAAATACTAAAAACTACTGCACGGGGATTGAACGACTGTAATGATGATTTAGTTTTTACTAAAAACTATAAATACCTAAGTGTTTCGTACCATAATTGACACTGTGTTTTCAGAATAACAATCCTTCCTTCTCATCTTCTGTCTTTTAACTTGCGACTTGTAGGGTTCTCGAGTTTGAGTGTTGTATATGGTATAGCAAGAAAAATATAAGTTCTAGAAATAACATCTACCATAACTTTCAAGTTGCAATCATAGACATGATGGGATTTAAAAGTTTGAGACATTATCGCATATAACTCAGAATAGCAGCCAGTTAAAGATTGATTATACTTCCCCATTTCACTTTTTTATTCTTCCATGGTGATATTTTATTTCAATAGTTGAGAACATGAGTCAATTGAAAATAGACCACCATGGAAAACCTGAAAGCACTGGACGGCCGTTTCGTCCTATTGTGGGACTCCTCAGCAGTGAGCATCCACGATTCCGCACCCCGCGAGATTCGGACCCAGGAACTATCAGTCTCGCGCGCGAGCACTTAACCTCTAGACTACTGAGCCAGCATCCAACGGTGTTAATGTCTAACTTCAACTAATCCACGAAATTGAGCGACACATCTACCATTGTCATCAGTGAGTTATTATCTCACAACAAACCCGGTTGAACTCTACTGGTCAATGCTTCTAACCAGAACTCCAGGATATACATCTTGAAGCCAGTCACTAATGAGCATATGTTGATTAGTAGCAGAAGGGATTTTGTGACTAGAGTTGGTATTGTAACAGAATTTATGTGTATTAAATGAAAGAAACTGAACATCTAACACATTAGAAAGTTTAAAAAAAAGAATTACCTTCAATAATTGATCAGTATCACCGAATTTTGATAATGATGAGTTAAACATTGTATTTGTAGTAGTATTATTATCAGATTTTTTCATTGTATAACGATTTATAGATTTAATGGTTGTGGTAACATTTCTATTATTACTATTATTATGATTATTATTATTATTACTATTATTATTACTAGTACGACTACCATTGTGACAATTCGATTGATTTCCACTTCTATTCGATGGATTTATAGTTAGACCAACACCTAGAACACGTCCATTATATATGGATGATGATACATTCGATCCTCTCGATGGTTGAGCAGTATTATTGATTGTAGGAAATTTTGATGATAAACGAGTCGGTAAACATCGATTTGTTGATTTTGTAAATTGAGTAGTATTAGTAGTATTTCTACTAGTTGGAAAATAACTAGAACTACTGTTAATATTGTTATTAATAGTAGTATCTATAACAGTAGTAGAAATATTTGAAATTCTTCGTGAATGATATGTTGTATGTGGAGAATTCGATGCAGTATGTCGATCATTGTTTTGTTTTATTACAGACAAAGTTTTAGGTTTATTATTTGAACAATTTGGAAGATTGTCATTTTGTATAATGGTGTTAGGAGATGTATTAATACTGGTAACAGAATGATGTTCGACATTGTTAGAATTAGTCGGATTATGTGCTACAACTTCATGACATAATTGAAAGCCCTGAAATTAAAGATTAGAAAAATTCTGATAAGGAATTGGATGATAAATATAGACTATATGTAACGTGCCCAATAAATACACAAACTGAGATTATGAAAGTTTATCCTACAAAGTTTAGGGCACATGTGGTTAAACTTTCAACAGTTCTCTCTTCATGAGAACACGATTCTCCCCAACCCATTACTATTAATGATAACATCTCTTAGAGTTTACTCTTGAAGTTATACTTAAAAAAAAATAATTTATGATCATTGTTACCTTTCACCGAAACTGGAATAGTGAATGGGGTTTTCTCGACTCCTACAGTGTTCACAACCTTTCAGCCCTCGTTTACATGTATTTGTTGAGCAGATTATACATCATTATTCTGAAGATTTTTCAAAATGAGTTAGTCTAATAACATTTAACCTTACACTGTTGTCAGAATGAAGCATTGTAGCTTTCAGGAACAATTAAATAGTTTACTTGAACAACTATTTTTCACAAAAACTGATGCTAGTTAGAGAACCACAGGCCTACTGCCGGTCCAAAAACCGGTTAAAAGAGGAGGGTTAGGCATGGTGTCGGCAACCCCATCCCGTAGAAAAAACCTCGCTTAAAAAAACGCTAACCAGAATAAACAAATTGAACTCTATGTTTCTAGGTGTTTTTAAAAATGCACCTTTATTATTATTATTTTGCACTTTAAACTCTAATCATTTATTATTATTACCTTTTACAAGTTTTCTTGATTATTATTCAGTCTATTATTATGACCTTTGTTGTTTTGTCGTTTTTCTTCATATCTGTCAATTGGACTATTATCTGACCCTTAAATTTTGTTCTTCCTTACCCCTTGATTAGTACGTTAACCTCATTTGTTATTCATTGTCGAATCCATTTTTGTGATACAATCCATTCTATCCTTCTATAGACGTACATTTTCCATATAACGATATATACGAATGTAAAGCTTAAGTAAATGATTTCGTCGAAAAGAAAATTTTCCTCTCTGAATTCTCTTTTTCTTATTCAATGAACTCTATCCTCCTAGTTCAAGGAAGAATTATGACGTCTCGTGATGAAATCCAAGATTTTTCAAAGTCACGAGGCCGATATCCCTTTTAACAACCACAACAAAATTTTTTATAGGTACATGGAACGTCCGGACAAGGTGGAAGACCGGAAGGACCAGTAAAATAGCTACGGAAACGAGGAGAAACGACTTGATGGTTCCTCGAATCAGTGAAACCCACTGGACTGGAAGAAAGGAATGAAAATGACGAGAGATGTCCAAATATATGTGTACTCAATGAAATGGTTATAGGTGGCACAATATTCCCACACAAATGTACACACAAAGCTACATGGGTCTCACCGGATCACACTACACAAAACCAGATCAATTATATTTGCATCGATAAAAAACTTAGAAGGAAAATGGAAGATATGGGAACCAGAAGAGGAGATGACATAGCTTCAGATCACCACCATCCGAAGGTTGCCAAGATGAAACGGAAGCCAAGGAAACACTGGACAACTGGACAAACAACACTACAAAGGTTCAATACAGCCTTCCTACAAGATACTAACAAACTCAATCAATTCAAGATAGCTCTCAACAATAGGTTCCAAGCCTTACAGGATCTGATTAAAGAAGATGAAATTAATATGGAGGACAACTGGAAAGGGATCAATGACGTATTAACTTCAACGTGTCAGTAGATACTAAGCAGTAAGAAGCGTCATCATAAGAAATGGATCTCCATGGAAACACTAGAAAAGATCAAAGAAAGGAAGAACAAGAAGACAGAAATTAACAACAGCCGAACAAGAGCAGAGAAAGTCAAAGCACAAACTGAATACACAGAAGCAAACAAGCAAGTGAAGAATAACATTAGGGCTGACCAACAGAAATACGTGGAAAAAGCTGCAAGAGAAGGAAATATTCATGTATATTAGAGTAAAGCCTGATGACGATCTAGTTGAAAACAATTGTTCGCTTATATGTGTTGTTCCAAACAACTATATGACACGACGAAGAAACTGACAGGAAAATATAACGAACCAGAGAGACCAGTCAAGGACAAAGAAGGAAAAACAATCACAGAGGAACAGATGGGTAGAGTACTTCGAGGAACTATTAAATAGACCAGCTCAATTGAATGTACCGGACATCGAAGCTGCACACACAGACCTTCCTATAGATGACACTACCAACGGTCGAAGAAATCAGGATGGCCATCAGACAAATCAAGTGTGGGAAAGCAATAGTATCTGATAACATACCAGCTGAAGCAATGAAGTCAGAAATAGAAGCAACTACAAACATACTCCACGTTTTATTCAGGAAGATTTGGGAAGAAGAACAAGTGCCGACAGAATGAAATGAAGGATAACTCATCAAGATACCAAAGAAAGGAGATCTAAACAAATGCGAAAACTACAGAGTCATCATATTACTGTCAGTAGCAGGAATGTTTTTTTTAACAAAGTGTTGCTGAACCGGCTGATAGACTCACTAAACGTCCAGCTTCCAGATCAACAGACCGGATTTCGTAAGGATCAGTCGTGCACAGACCGAATCATGACACTACGGATCATCGTTGAACAATCAGTTGAATGAAGTTCGTCACTATACATCAACTTCATTGACTATGAGGACTTGACAGTGTAGATAGGAAAACATTATGGACAGTTATTCGACTCTGCTTCGAGAATTAGAAGCAGACATGAATAGCAATTGAAGACAACTGGAAAGGATTGCTCCAGATATAGTTGGATAGAGAATGCTGGTGGGTAGCCTGTTCCTCGATGAGGGGTAACAGACGTAAGTAATTAAGGTTAATATGACAAATATAGTTCGAAAATGACGGTTCAACTGAAAGAATAACGAGTAGATGTATGCAAACCAGTTATTGGTATTTTTCATACAACAACCAGGAAATCTACCTCCCGACATAAGCCAGTTTAAAACCCGAACACTTCAAGGATTGGTGCCGTGTCTTGCTTATCTTCATCACTAACATTCTCCCAACACAGGTCTATATCAGTTAGCATTGTGTGTCGGGATAAATGATTGTAGCCAGTCCAACATAGTATGTATCCTAACCACGTCCATTAATGAAAGTTTATAGCATCCCGATAAAACTTAGTATTTTGCCAAAGATACCCTATACATTTAATCACAAAATGTATCACACATTCGTTCCACTATTCACGAATAATATTTCGAAGACTTATCGATTACATAATCCTTCTGCTTTCAAAAAAAACTACTGTCCTAAAACTTAAATAATACAGAGGGAATTGTTGGTCAGTATACTCACCGCTTGATAAGTAAACAGATGTTTTACCTAAGAGTTTGTCTATATCCCTAGATTTTGATAGTCGTTAACCGACATTTATCTAAAACACTGAAGCTTTATATAATCAATATTAATTATGTTTATACAACACTAACATTTGTTTATAAACATTTAACATTTGCGTAATAAAAACCAAAGGTACACTTTAAAATATTACATAAATAAAACAGGAAAACAGGGAACAGGGTTTTAAAAAAATCTCATCACATATAACAAGCGAATGAACTATAATAGTAGTCTAAGATTTAAATTAAGTATCGACTGATTCAATATCGCGTTCACTAGGTTGAGATGAGATATTGACTGAAGGTAGACGACATGAAACCCTAGACCTAGGTTTTATGCTGTTTGATACCTGTCATCAAGGTGTACCTCTAATCTTAAGGGAACTGACGATCCCTGACAGTTCGTTCCGGCTTCACTCAGTTGTACACCCGAGCATAATTTATACTCAAACTATGCGATGTGATAAGTCTAAAAGTTATACAGCTCTATTAACGTAGTACTTTACCTTTTCGATAGCACAAAGAAAAATACTTTGAAATTTACAATAAACAATATACCTGACTTATTCGTTGAAGTACCATCTCTTGAAATACTTCACGAGCTGTCAATTGGCGACGGTTGTATAAAGCGCCGGGTTCCGAAAAACTGGAATATAAGACCAAAATAATAATAATAATTAATATATAAACAGAAGTAATGAACTAGCATTTAACACATGATTCGGAATTGGAGAAGGAAAATTATGAAATTACAACAATCTATTTCAATATTTAGATGAAAAGATGTGCCAACTAGACGGATCGGTAGCCCGAAATTCACTAGCTGATATAATACTACTCATAAGTAGTAACGTCAATGTAGATGGAAGAATGAATCAGTTCCTAGTCGCACTAACCGTGAAATGATAATTCATTTTAAGGCATGTTAAACAAAAACTGAATTAATAGCGATTTCAGTGCCATCAGAACATGATCATAGAGCTCAAGGGGGAAAAACTACTTGAGAGCAGGTACACAAAAATCTCTTTTTTTTTAATGTGTTCGTTTTACAATTAGAAAGGTTTACAGTCGGCAAACGAGATCCTTAGTGAAAGATGAAGGATGTAATTTTTCAAAAGTAGCCTTTTCTAGACCTCTCTAAACACCAGGATTATATTATAAACATATTTATATCTTAATGGTTGAAATCATGAGTCAATTGAAAACTTGGAAGCACTGAACGACCGTTTCGTCCTATTGTGAAACTTCTTAACAGTGAGTATCCACGATCCCGTGTCGCGAGATCCAAACCTAGGATATATCAGTGTCGCTCGCGAGTGCTTAACCACTAAGACCATTGAGCCAGCATCCAATGCTGTTAATGTACTAACTTCAACTAATCCACAAAATTGAGCGATACATCCACCACTGTTATCAATGAATTACTCTCTCACAACAAGACTCCCACAATAGAATAAAACAGTCATTCAGTGCTTCCAGGTTTTCTATGATAGTCTACCTTCAATTAATTCATGATCTCAACTATTCAAATAACTATAAAATCCAAACAAAACAAAAAAAACTCCCCTTCTGATATTTATATGTAATAAAATATTTTTTTCAAGTTTGTTTTCTACAGAATTTCGTAGTTTAAAACAACAACAACAACAGAAAAAACGTACACACATTTTACACAATTAAAACTAGCATAGATTTCATGTGTAACCATGCAACAAACAAACAAAAATACCTAACTCAAATGAGCATTAATTACAAATAAATAATTGTCTTAAAAATATTCGCTATTTTTAATAAAACAATGAAATTTAACTAATTATATAAATCATTCCTGATTATTTTTCTCTTTTTTCTTGTTGCTATGGTTGTTGTTGTTGTTGGTGGTGGTGGTGTTTGTACTTTACCATTTAATAACCAAAAAATAAATGTAACTCATGACAAAATACGTTTTTTGTTGTTGTTGTTGTTCATAATACAAATAATCATGATCCAATTGAAAATGATACTTTGAACTAAACTAGTAAAAAATTTTTTTTAAAAAAACTGATCTCTATATGTATGTTTGTTTGTAAAACTGTACATGGAGAGATAAACCTCTTTTTTTTGTTCGTTGTTGTTGTTGAAAAAATGAAGAAAAAAAAGAAAGTAATAAAAACAACACACATTTTGTTCTGATTAAATGAGTTAACAAATGATAATTGATTGTTATGAGTTATGAAGTCGATAAAATGAAAAGTAAGCAAATGTTATTAACTTGTACCCTGTTAATGTAGAACGTGATGATATCGCCAATTAGAGAACAATGATTTATCGATTGGATCAATAACGCATAAAATGAAGTACGAGCAGTTTAGAGTCCTTATCGGTTCTACTTTTTGCCTAGACTAGCCTGTTGAATGTAGAACATTAATCTCAGCCTCTGTGATATGAATTATGTATTTTGAACATACTGGGTTTATATACCAGTCAAACAAACCACATCGAACCATAAAATGGGAAACAATATTTGCACAAGATTCAGCCAAATGTGGCTGTGAGTAAGAGAGATAGTAATTAATAGACTGGGCATAACTCAAAAATGGTAAATCGTATAATAATAGTTCATAGGTCAAAATAAAGCTTATGATAAGAAGAACATGAATATGGATATTTTAGTTATTTAACAATTATACGATATATATATATATATATATATATATATATATATATATATATATATATATATATATATATATAGTATTAGTCCAGAAATAGATTCCAACAGTTATAATTAATTATTCTTATAGGGATATAACAGTAACCTATTTAGTAATTAAATCAAATGATGATACTTTAGGACATTTCGAACTAATGTAAACAATATAGGACCATAATATAAATGTGTGGAGAATAAGTTGCTACATTGAATTAATATGTTGATTTAAAATTAACAGGATAAAAAGTGTACAAAGATTGTATCTTAATTTTGAATTGTATCACTTAAGTCCTTCGATACATTCAGTCAGTCAGCTAAAACGTAGGACCAGGCACATATATTTATCGGCCCAAGTTGTTACAAGTTGCTTCATTAACACAGCAAGATGAGCACCAAATTCATAAAAGTAGTCACTTCAATCATAATAATATATAAAAGGAAGATTGCATATAAGGATTTAATACAGGAAAGAAGGAATTAGTTAGTAGAAAGGTATGAAGTAATTTTACTCTCATAGTTTAAGGGGAGACAAAGAGTGTATACACCTATGCCATTGTGATCGATTCTGAGCCATGTCACCCAGAGTCTGCATCTACCAACTTGGCTAAGACTAGAAATTAGTGACTTCAAGCATAAAACAACTATTAATATTGGTGGGTGGGATGTATCACTTGTTAAATTTTATTGATTGTTATTTTTTTGTGTGCTTTTTAATGGTTATCCAAATAAGATTAGTTTACGGTGCAAATGTTAGAATCAAATAACTTCAGAAAAACTTTTACATACATCTGTATTAATGGTTATTCAATATGGTCTTTCATATATATACATATATGCCAAACCAAAACTTGGCATCAGTGCCTGAAGTCACTAACTTCTAGTCTGAGCCATGTTGGTAGATGCAGACTACTTGGTTGGGGTCCGCGTGACTTTCGTAACCAATGGTTGGAGACTCTTGGTGACATGGCTCAGAATCGATCACAATGGCGTCGGTGTATACACTCCCTGTCTTCCCTTAAACTAAGAGACTAAAATCACTTCATTCTTTCTGTCTACGAACTAATTCTTTCTTCCTATACTATATCCTTATTGCAACCTTTGACCTAACCACTCCTATGAATCCGGTGTTCATCTTGCTGTGCTAATGAGGTATGGCAACCTGGACCGATGCACATATGTGCCTGGTCCTACGTTGTAGCTGACTGACTGACTGACTGATATATACATATATATGATGTATTTACCGTTTCGTGATAAATTTATTTTGCTTATTTCCACATAGATTGAACATTGATCTCCTGAATTTTTCATTTAATTAGAAATCATTTGTTACTGATGAACTGCCTATTTAATTTCTATGCTTAAAATACGTTTGGTTTTTGTTGTTGTTGTTGTTGATGGTGGTGGTTGTAGTGTTACGTCTTATTGTTGTTGTTGGTTAGTTGAAAGATTAATTAATTTTTGATAACAATAATTTACTTAATCAACCCGATATTTTAAATAGTTATTTTATGTTTATTTATTTAATAATTTGACCGGGAGATATATTGTAATCAATGGAATTGTTTTGATCACGCATATTATATAAGAGATATATGTATATATTTGATATTCAGTTTAATGAACTTTTATTGATTGAGATCATGAACTGATTGATGTAAGACCACTGTTGAAAACCTGGAAGCACTAGATGGGCGTTTCTTCCTATTGTGTGACTCCTCAACAGTGCTTGTCCAAGATCTCCACAACCTTATAGTGATAATGAACTTTTGACAGAAATTCTACTTTACTCTATGGCTTTGAAGTATGAAGTTGAAAAGTAGAGAATGTATTCATAATTTACTAGTATTTGACTTTAGACGACTTCGAAATATCAGCTATATATGATAAGAAACTGTTAAGTGAACAATCGTGAAGTTAAACTCAGATTAGTAGGTTAAAAAAATGACAAATCGATTGTTGAGTTAATGAATCTTGGTTCATTTAGATGGTTGAAACATGCTTTATAACGTATGCTCAAACGCTAACTAACAAGGTGTGTAATGGCAGTAATGGTGACATGCTTGAACATTTGGGCTACCTATTCCTGCCATCTAGATATTCTAAAAACTTATCTAATTTTGTTTGTTTTAATACATCATTATGGCTGTTATTCGCATAACCTATTCAGGCACATTTATGACCTTTCACTGTAAAAGTTACGAACAAGTACAATCAAAAATATTGTGATAGCTGACACTATTCATAGAAAAGAATGAACATTATTTAGATGTCGATTTACTGAACTGCTAACATTTAACTGACGATCACTCAATATTTATCGTCAGGATCAATCAAGAAATAAGAAATAAATAGAGCAAGAACAAACATTGATGCAGAATAGTATGAATTCATATTATTTCGAGGTTTCTCGTCAGCTGCTTACAAACCAAAATTGTGATAGAATTTTTACATGGAGATAGTGTGAAACAATTGACATAAATGAGTGTAAAAAACTTGATTACAGTAATAACTAGATATACATGCTAGAAACAGGTCAGAGGTCAAAAGAGGGGGGTTAATCCAGGGTGGGTGGTGTAATAATTTAGTGAAGTTCATAAATTGTGTGATAATTGTGGAGATTAATGGAATTAAATAATGATAAGGTAGATTACGTAATAACAATTAAATAGGGTTTGGAAAGTTAAGATGATTTAAGAGGATCAGGTGGTGGAAATGTGTGAATAAAATTTATTTTAAGAATTAGGTAATAGGGGGGGAGTATAAATTATCTTAGAATAAGTAAATGAATAAAATAACCAAAACACAAAACAAACAGAAACAAAAAGATTACCAGGGTAGTGATAAGTTTATTAAAGTCTCTTTTTGGATGCATAAGTCCGGTTTCAGTTTCTTAATTGCAATGGCTTCAGCAAAGCGGAGAGTGGTAGTAGTTCTTTGTCTATTGATAATTTTAAACGCGTGCATAATATCGACGGTATGCCCGGTGTCAAGTAGATGCCGAGCTATTGCACTGTTAAAAGCTTTATTCCCTCGCAGCGTCAAGTTCTTCGGAATATGCTCAGAAATGCGAACCTGTACTCTTCTCTCAGTTCTTCCAATGTATGTGCTATGGCACGTACATGTGAATTGGTAAATGCATTTGGAGCAACTGAGGGGAGAGGACTTGTCGATTGTCGTTTGTCTTTAATGTATGTTAAAAGAAAGCTATGAGTGGTTAAATCAAGATTCAGTAACATTTCATGAAGTCAATGATTATTTGTCTATGCCTTTTTGTTGACTTTTCACTTATTTGGTTGGGAGCATTGTGATTATCATGACCAATGGATTACAAAACGCGGCGCAATGTTGGCTTGTCTTGGGGATGGTCAGGAAAATGTTAGGGGCAGCCAAACCAAAACGTTGCCTCAGTTCTTGAAGTCAGTAACTTCTAGTCTTATCTTAGTTAGTAGATGCAGACTACTTGGCTGGGGTCCGCGTGACCATCGTATCCAATGGTTGGAGACTGTCGGAGACATGGCTCAGAATCGATCACAATGGCATAGGTGTATACACTCTTTGTCTCCCCTTAAACTATGAGAGTAAAATTACTTCATACCTTTCTACTAACTAATTCCTTCTTCCCTGTATTAAATCCTTATATGCAATCTTCCTTTTATATATTATTATGATTGAAGTGACTACTTCTATGAATTTGGTGTTCATCTTGTTGTGCTAATGAGGCAACTTGTAGCAACTTGGACCGATACATATATGTGCCTGGTCCTACGTCGTAGCTGACTGATTGACTGATTGAGTTGTTCTGTGTTCATTAATGACTTATTTCGAGAGGCAATTCCTGAAGTTATAATGAAAAGCTGAAATTAATAGTGTTCATTTATATCAGTGTGAATCAGTTACCCATTAATGATATCGGAAGATGGATGGAATTAGTCATGTAGTCTGGTAGATACCAACTGAGTAATCTAAAGGTTTATCTAGAGGGTCGGTGGTTTTGAGTTCGATCCCACATGAGGTCAGGGATGAACATCCTTGAGAAGTCCCTTACTTGAATGGAACAGCTGTCCTCTCTTTCAATAGCTGTTTAAATAAGATCAGTTCTTGATGCAAAAAAAAACATAAATTTAACCATGTTCTAGCGCTTAATATTTATCAAAATTGGTTTCATAATATAGTTAGTTTATAAAATTCTTAATGACAATTACTATTGATGAACTGAATTCAATTAAAAGGGAAACTCGACAAGAAACTAACAATAATTCCATTCTGATTAGAGATTATTTAGTAACGAAGAGCTATGATTCCGCCAAGTAGTAAATAAAGAATCTACAAATCTCATGGATACTAGAATACTTGAATCAGTGGTCAAAATTATTGTATGTACCGTAAAGCATCGAGATCCCTGGTCCATTTTTTTAATAGGGGAATTAGTGATTATAGCTAGGAAATCCCAACCTGAGATGAAATAGCTACCTTACTGTTTAATAATGCCGTAACTAAGATCAGTCGACGACGAAAAATCATCTTCAAATTGCATTAATCTTCATTATCTGAAAATTAATCACCACAATCATAACACATTCGGTTTCATGGAACTGATTGTGTTCAATTACTTAATATACTTCAGTATCAACACAGAAGAGGAGATAATGGAATTTAAGGAGATAAAAATAAAATAATCTGGAATAATATTATAAATATTCTATTAAAATTATGACTAACAATGGAATACAGGAGAGGAGTTTAATGCAATTTTGAATTTCACAGGTTGAAATCATGAGTCAATTGAAGCTAGACCACCATTGAAAACCTGGAAGCACTGGACGGCCGTTTCGTCCTAGTATGGGAATCCTCAGCAGTGCGCATCCACGAACCCGCTCCCCGCGGTATTCGAATCCAGGACGAAACGGCCATCCAGTGCTTCCAGGTTTTCAATAGTGCTCTAGCTTCAACTGACTCATGATTTCAACCTGTGAAATTCCCTAAAAATCTCCACAAAACTCATTCTGATAATTTTGAATTTATCAGCCAGATGTGACTACAACTCATGAATGCTAATAATAAGCGCTGTACCAGTAAAATACGCTAGTGGATATATATATATATATATATATATATATATATATATATATATATATATATATATATATACTTAAGAAATCCGTGGATAACGAGATGAAGTTTAGAAAGATAAGTACTGAATTCGGATCTCAGCGTAAGCATCATAACTGAGATTCGAGCACTGACGAGTTAAAAATAAGACGAAATGAAAATCCTCAATTTCAGTATTAGTCATAATTCCACAATACATTAACAGTTTCTTAATACATAAAAATGAGACATACACAAACTTACGTGTTATTCATAGAATCCCATTCATCTGGTGACATACCACTTGGTACAACACGATAATCATGTAGTGTGTACCATTCACTACGAAGACGACAAGTATCTGGAAAATAATCTGTATCCACTGGTAAACATGCCGGAACAATCAATGACTTCCAGTCAACACCTAAAATGTATAGAAATGAACGAAAAATCAACGTCTAAACACACATATACACACACACACAAGCATACGCAATCAAAATAAGGGTTAAAGTTTGTTTTACTAACCCAAATAGAAAAATAAGTATACACCATTTATCTCTGGTAAAAAGAAATACCAAATAAAATACTTCACAACTTCATGAGATTAAATGAAAGAACAGAAAACATTCACATACATTCAGTAACTAAATTACTACATCCAATTTATGCCCATGTAGTACACTGAAATATCCAAGGAAGGAAAAGGAAACGTGGATTTCTGGTGGTGGTGGTGGTGGGAGATAAGAATAAGGAACATAACAATGTAAAAAAAGAACACGTCTTATTGAACATTAAGAACGTATTAAAGTTGCAACGTCTGAATAATAGTCATTGTGTATTTTCGTTCAAAAATGGATTAAATTTAAACTAGATAATAATTACAATTGAATACTAATCCTAGGTGTAACAGCAATTTTATTAACAAGAATAACTTACATAGTTACCAATTTAAGGGACTTGATATTGTGTGCTCTATGCTAAGATTTTAGATGGATAGATGTAACTAGTAAGAGTCTATGTTTCATGGTAGTCAGCACTTATTATCAATGCGTACATGCAATTTTCAAGGAATTAATGCTCTTTGATGAATTTGATCATGTATCATCCAGTTTCGAAGTCTGAAATGTTAATAACGAACTACTCAAACCTCCACTGACTAATTATAGAATTGTGATATTTACGATTGACTGATTATTGAGTAGTGACCGAATGCATATGTATCTAGCTCATTAGTGTTGATGAAGCCCTATCGATCAATTTGCAGTACTATCGATTGGAGGTGAATGTAAGATGAAATCAGTTATTATATGTGAGATCCGATATGTTTGAATGAATGGAAGGCAACTGTCAAGAAACCTTGTTTGAACTAGATTTCATGTTAGCTGGTATACATCAATAAAGCAAGTTTGCAATCTCGAGGGAAATGAAGCTCCTATAGGAAGTTTAATCATTCAGTGTTGCAGTTAGCGATGAAAATACAGAGCTATTCAGGCTGTGATTGGTCTTTCGTAGGGCTGAAATAATTACGACCATTGGTTACTAAGTAGTAACTAGTGAATACAATCTTAAATAGAAGGAAACTATAGTATAACTTGAAAATATATGACATCTTGAATTAGTGATCGATGAAAGGTAAAAATTTCAATCACTGAATGATTCAGGAACGTCTAATAGTCAGGTTTCGAAATTCAATTGTCTCATTACGATCGATTTCTTTATTTATGATCATCCATTACCTTCACTTACATTGTATACTCGCGAGTAAATAAAAAGGCTACGAGGGATCAGGACAAGATAATGGCATCAATCCACTAAAGCCATTGAATCCGGATGGTTTAATCATGAGAAAATAAGAATAACAAGGTACTTGTTCGAAATCAATAAATGTTAAGAAAAAAGTTGTATGTTCAACACGGAATTACTTCTGGATGACCTTCATGTAGTTTAAGTGAGAAATTGTGAAACCATTTGACAGAAGGAACTCTACAACTAACTAATTCGTTGAAGTCATAAAACGTTAACTATTAGATATGATATAATATTCATCACGAAAAACGAGTCCCAAATAGGATGAAACACGCGTCTCGGATTCCACTGCTAGCTACTATCCATCTTTGCTTAGAATAAAAGATATTCACATTGCTCGATGAACATGCGACGAATCGTAAATAAATATCAGGAACTTATAGTGACAATAATAATAATAATAACAATGGTGGTATCTAACATGTCAGAAATAATTTCGTCTATAATTTCGAATCTGTTATAACTAAAATCATTTTCATTCTGACAATATTACCAATATGTTGTCTGTCAAAGAGAATTTGACTGACATTTACACTTCAATAATAATAGTTATTATTATTAGTATTCAACACAAACAATAGACATTCTCTAACACAAATAAACTTAAATAAATTAACCGAGAAAATATAGAGAAATAAATTAGAATAACAACTGGAAGGAGCTAGAAAGGATTGCTCAGGACAGAGTTAGATGGAGAATGCTGATGAGCGGCCTATGCTCCTCCACGAGGAGTAACAGGAGTAAGTAAGTAAATTAGAATAAAGCATTCACAAAACGAGAAGGAAGAGAACGAAACAATTACACAAGCATATCAACAGATGCAAATGAAAAACTGACGAAAATCATGTAGACATACATAGACATAGAAAACAACTTGATAATAATGCGAAATGATTACACAATCAATTCAATGGATTACATTCACGGACAAATATTGACACATACACATACATATACATATATATATATGTACGAATATGTGTAAACTAATCACCATTAAACTAATAACACTACTGTATACAATAATGGAGAGTTAGATATAAAACAAAAATGAACAATTATGAATTAAATAAATAAACTGAACAGGAAATATACAATAGGACAAGAAAATAATCACATCTAATTCACGGCTACACAGAGATAACAATAAGAAAAACAAACCAAGGGGAAACCTTTGGGGTGAAATGAGATGGGGGGAAAGTAGGGAGATATAAGGTAATTACCGATAAGTCGTAACATTTTCCGCAGGGCATCTGAAAATAAATCAGCGATATAATGCATACATGAAACTAAGAGTTATAATGCAATTAAGAGTATATATATATACAAAGACAATTTGACATAACTTACCGAAAACAATATATTTTATTATCCAAAGTATTTGTTATATCTTTCAAAAAGATGAAATCTCTTTTATTTTGTCCTCATGTGATCAGACTAATAACTATAGAAGTATGACTACTTACTACATATTTCTTTTGTAGGATCGATAACTTTCTAATTTATTAATGATCCTGGGACATGTGTTACTAATGCCCAACCACCGACTACTCCGAAGCGCGATGTTTTATGGTGTAAGATAGTGTAAGGTTGGAAGAAAGCTAGGGAAAGGAGTGGCCAGACGGAAATATGGCACAAATCGATGAATTGACTGAGAAGTGTAGTGAGTGATGTTTGTAGGTGTAGACTATGTGGTTGAGATCCGTGAGACGATAGCAAAAGATGGTTAGAGACCTTGAATGAAATGGCTCATAATCGTTTACCATCGCGCAGGTGCCTCCACTCTTTGTGTTCTTCCAAATTCTTCATGTCCCTTCTTTTCTCCTTCCAAATTTACTTCACTGGATTATACTTCTTGAATAACATTTTCAAACCCTAATATTTCCGATTACTGCTTATACTTTTTACTACCTGTACGACTATGTGGTTTGAATCGACAATTGTATCTGTGTGCTAATATGGTATGGCAACTTGAACTGATGTGCGTACGTACGAAGTTCCACGTTGTTGACTCACTGAATGATATAGTGTTCAGAATTGACAGACAATATAAGGCTTATGGTTGAATTTGTTCAGTCAAACGATTTATATAATAATATAAAGTAATTTACTGATCATAGATTATATAAGCCCGAATATAAATGAAAGGAAACTAGGTAATTAATTCATAATTACTAAACAATAATTTAAGAAAGATAGAAGCATTCAAGAATGCTAAATATATAAGCTTACAAATAGGGAAATACACAAATAATTATACTGAAAAATAAGTAATTAAATTCCAAAAAAAGGGCAGGTTTCTTTTTCATTATAACAGTGTTTTTTTTTCTCCTCAAATAATGTTTTTCAATCAATTAGAATCCTATGAACCAATGATCATTAATACCTTTAATTGAAATGTAAAAGTTTCCATGAAGAAATTGAAATTAAGAACTAAAATTAATCAAGATTTGTAGAAATTTAGAATATTTCATGAACCGACACATAGATACATACACACACAGAAACAGACACACATGAGCAACTTCCTATATTATTAGGGAGAGGTAATAAATAGTTTGATAAGCAAAGATGGATAGTAACTAGCAATGGAATTCAGTTTGACACGCGTTTCGTCCTATTTTCTACTCGTCAGCTGAATGTACCTGCAACCCAGAGTTGATGTCCATTCCTAGATTACACTGCTAGACACTATCTATCTTTGCTTTAAAAAAAGCTTGTGACTCAAGGCTATATCGAGGCAATCTGTACATATGCCAACATAAGACTGATCAATTGCAGTTCTAAATAACAATGAGAAGATACAAGAAAAAAAACCCAAGTGAATTCAAATAGCTTCATAGTTGAAAAATACAAATTGAATTTTGAAAAGTAAACAAAGAAAGTACCATCAGAATGGGTTTTGTGGAGAGTTTTAGAAATTTCACAGGTTGAAATCATGAGTCAATTGAAGCTAGACCACCATTGAAAATCTGGAAGCACTGGACGGACGTTCCGTCCTAGTATGGGACTCCTCAACAGCGCGCATCCACGATCCCGCACCACGCGGGGCTCGAACCCAGGACCCACTGGCTTCACGCGTGAGCACTTAACCACTAGACCACTGAGCCGGCATCCAACGGTGTTAATGTCTAACTTCAACCAATCCACGAAGTTGCGCCACCGTACACCATTGTCTTCAGTGAGTTACTATCTCACAACAGACCTGGTTGAACTCCATTGGTAACGGCTTCTCACTAGAACTCCAGGAGTTTTTCCTGAAGTCAGTCACTAGTGAGCAGTTGATTATTATCAGAATGGGTTTTGTGGAGAGTTTTAGAAATTTCACAGGTTGAAATCATGAGTCAATTAGAAATTTAAGCTTCAAAAATAAATAAACTATTATTAGTGGTTTGTTTGAATATCTGATCTACCTGTTGCTACCATTTAGATATTTCAACAAGTTATCTGTTTTCTTGTTTGTCTGTTTGTTATAACACATCATTATGACTATTAATCGCATAACTTATTCAAGCACATTTATGACCTTTCACTGTAAAAGTTACGAATAAGTACAATCAGCGATATTGTGATAGCTGACACTATTCATCGAAAAGAATGAACATTATTTAGATGTCGATTTACTGAATTGCTAACATTTAACTGACGATCATTCAATCTTTATCATCAGGATCAATTAAGAAATAAGTAAAGGGAACTTGTTGAAATACTTTGCGCTGAGAATTCTATATTGTACCAAAAGTATTGAATAAAGTTAATAATAATAATAATAATAATAATAATAATAATAATAATAATAAAGTGAATACTGATTACAGAATAGACAATACATCAGTTTATCAAAGCTTTTTTTGTTACAATGTGTGTAGAATAATGGGAATTTCCAATTTTTAACGTTGATACGAGAAATAACGTTACTGAAACCATTTGGTATTATATAAATAAGAAACGGTAATAAATTAACAATTTGAGGATAAAAAAACACACAGCATAAGTGGAATGAGAGAAAAGGTGTTTAGTACATCGAGAACATAGATCCTTATGTGTTGGGGATGCTAGATCACTAGAAATCACTTGGTAAACGTCCTATTTTTTGTAATTTCATTATGAAAATTCGAATTTCTCATTTTTTTCCCTCAACGTTTACCCTTAGTTTGTATTTCCAACTGAAAGGACCTTAAATATCATTGCTATGTTTCCCCTTTTAGTGAGACATTTTGTGACGTTTTCTAAGGACATTTTTGTACTGTATATATAAACGTGATTTGTATGCTCGTTCGATCATTTTTTATATTGCTTGTGAAATATATATTTTTGAATATGTATATTCTTCTTCCTCTAGTTAGCAGGACAGGGGTGTAGTGGAATAGCTTAGCTTGTCTTGTTATTGCGTTATTGACCTTTGTTCCATTCGCCGGTTTCGGATGATAATGTAATCTCTTCAAACTTAACAATATGAATAATACTAATAATGTTCAAGTGGACTTTGTAGTGGATGTACTGAGAAGGCTATTAACTTCAAGGAAATCCCTATCTATACTGCATTGTCTGATCTTTAATTTTACTCTAAATGAAATAAATCTGTGACGATGAAAATCAATATGTGATTATCATAATGAAAACTTATATTCACTTGGTGCTGTTTTACTTGTATCTTTCTATTATTATTTAGGACTGCAATTGATCAGTCTTATGTTGGCATATGTACAGATTGTCTCGATATAGCCTTAAGTTACAAGCTTTTTTTTAAAGCAAAGATACATAGTGTCTAGCAGTGTAATCTAGGAGTGAACATCAACTCTGGGTTGCAGGTACATCCAGCTGACGAGTACCGCATCCTGGATTCCATTGTCCATCTTTGCATACAAAAACTTATATCGTTTTTGTAGAAATTTAGTTCACCTTTCATCGTTCACTTTTACATATCTGTGATATAATATTGTAATGGATGTTACTCACACAAGCAGTGTGTATAGGAACGTAGTGTCAAACTTGCAATAATTGTCAAACAGAGTGAAGAGTTAGTTCCAGTGCACTTAAAGCACATCGTTAACCAGTCGGGAAGATAATCCAGATTGCAGAACACATCGGAACATGTAAATGGACGATTAAAAGTTGTGTATATATATAATGTAAATACTTGGTATTTTCTCATAACAAATATACATACCTCCTGCCTATTGTCTTATTTTATAGCATAAATGTAACTGATAAGGTTTACTGATTAATAGACATAGAACAGTATTACATCTGTTACTATTCAATACTATATATAATTATATAAGTAGTAACATTTAGTGAGTATTCGTTAAAAATAGCCACTGTCTCTAATAAGAGCTGAATCTGGTCTAGAAGACCTAAATGTAAATTTGGCATTATTGTTCATTATCACTGTAACATTAATAAAACCATTCAATCATATAGATGTTATTATTATTATTATTACAGTGTAATTAAATGTAAATGAAAAGTAGTTCATTAACTATATGATGATTATTGATTGTAATATAAATGTTAATTAGAAGTTAATATTGAATGATTTAACGAAGTGAAATCCATGAAGAGTTGAATTGATTGAGTTCGATAGGTTAAGTGAAAAATCTTCATTGATATTCTGGACAACATCATCAATGTTTATTTGGTGTCGAAATCAGCTGATAAGTTATGCAACAAAAAAAAGAATTAGTTCAAAATGTTCTGATGAATTGTTCTGTGAGTGATTTTCTTCGAATATTCTATCATCATTGAAGTTCCTTTTCAGATTCATTTGTTTGTATTCTATACTCTTCGTTTTTACTGGGTACATTTTTTGAATAACTTAGTAGTGCTTTAATATGATATTTCGATACTCTATTTTTACAAACATATTTGCTGTTTTCCTCTTCAATTTAACAGTATATCTAACAATTCGAATCGCGTGAGGCGGGGTCATGGATGCGCACTACTGAGGAGTTCAACAATAGGACGAAAAGGCCGTTCAGTGCTTCTAAGTATTCCATGGTGGTCTAGCTTCAATTGAATCATGATCTCAACTATTGAAATTCATACTTCTATCTCAATTGTTAATTTCAAACTCAATTAAAGATCTTTAGCATTCCATTCGAGTTAATATTCTTCCGCCTTGGGATTGTCATATTATAGATTTCCTCTCGGGACTTGCTGTTTTGAGTTATGAAAATCTGGATAGATGAACTTCCACTCGAACTTCCACATTGTCTAGAAATGACAGATTGACACAGAACGTTCTTCTTTGCGATTTATCAGTTGGATGTATCTGTTTTCGAGTGTTGATGTCCATCTCACGATTAGAACCCATTAACTCTCTCTTTAAACACCTAATTCTTTGTTTATTGAAATAAAAAGTTCCGGTAGCCACCAATTTGTGCAGTGCGGAATCTTTCTGCTGTTTACATTAAAGGAGTGAATTTCGATCAATTTCTATTCACATATGTGCATCCTAGGAGGATTCACTTAACATAATCATTAAGTCAAAAGTTTTGAATTAAAGTAGAATAATAACTAGTAATCGAATCCTTGTATATACCTTAGATACACATACAAACAGAATGAATATATGCCAAAAGAGACTGATTAAAATTTAATATTTTAACATTAAGAACTTTTGATGAAGTTTTGTTCTCTGAGCTAGATGGTTTGGTCGTAGAGTTTTCACCGTTCTTCTGAACGATATTATCAGCACAAATTTCAGGTGGAAGTGAAGTGTTCGAATTTCTTCACATATGACTTACAGCTTGTCCTGTAGACCTCAATGTTGATTGGTTATTATTGACTTGAAAGTTGCCATTGTTTACTTGTTTGTTTTTGGTTATATCACCCATTAGTTTAACAAGCTATGAACAATATTTGAAGAAATTCGAACACTTCACTTCACCTTGAAGTTTGTCCTGATGATGTCGTTTAGAAAAACGATAAAACCTTCATAATCAAATCGTTCAACTCAGTGAACAAAACTTCATCAAAATCATCCACCTAAGTTACAAATCTTCGCCATCCTCTCAGTAACCATCAACACGAAGAAATTTAAAGAGAAAACATCGTGATTCAGTTCAATGAAAAGAACAAGAAAAGAAAAGAAAAACAAGACAAGAAAAAAAATGATGACAAAAAGCAATAGATAAATAATGAATAAGAGATAGTTTGCTTTTCTGCATTTTCAAAATGGAATCTCTAAAATTAAATAAAACTTCAAACAAACTACAACTAAGAGTAAAGTGAATTTGTTCTCATTAGAAGAAAAAAAAGAAAGAAGAAAAAAGTGGAAATTGTCTGGACATTTGATTAACAAAGACAGTGGAGTGAACACACAGAGAGAAAATAATAACAACGACAACAACAAATAAGAATAATAATAATGATAAAACGAGAACAACAGTGACTGTGGAAAAAAATTTTTTTATTATTAAGTAAGATAAAAATGCCGCAATTTTACGACATACAATACAACAGGTAGGGAGGGTACATGTGGGAGAGCGAGAGAGAGAGAGAGAGGGAGAGAGGAAAAAAACAACAACAACCGTAGAATGATAACAATCGGTAATTATGTTTGTTTGTTTGATTCTATTTAAACGTTTACTAGAACAAAATACAATGAATAACTATGTCTAGTGGAAATATGATTTCAGTCAGTTATAATCAAAGAATTCGAAATAATAATAATATAGGGATTAATAATGATGAGAAAGATTAAACATTGAGTATATGGTTCCAAAAAAACAAAGATGGAATGTAAAAGTATGTATAAAAGAATATTGGAATTGAAGTTCTAGAAATAAGATAAAGAGTAAACTTATCTTTGTCATTATAGCCGACATATCATGTGAAGTCTTCAGTTATGAAATGGAAGCAAACAATAAATAGTCTACATCTATCAATATGAATCAGATGAATATTCAATGACTTCAAATTTGATTAAATTAAGTGAGTATTAGTTGTTTTTTTTTTTTTGAAAACTGTAGGTATATTTTGTTGATGGGCACCAACTAGTATAAAGCCTCGCTTAAGGATGAATTCCTGCCTACTAGTGCTAAACATCTAATCTAACATCAGTACTTATAACTTTAAATAATATATGTTTCAGATACATGAAGCAGTTTACTTCCGGTATCTCTTTCAAGAAATCCACAACCTCATACAGTAGCTGTGTCTGAATCAATTTCCAACATAGAATAAGAATAGCTAATTGATATAAATGTTTTTCTTTTCATGTCAAGGAAAACATTTTAGATCCATAATACAGAATAAAAATGGTGTTGATTTATATGCAAGCAGCCAATTTGAACTTTATTTGTTGTAATAAAATGGATCAACCGACTGACAATCCAGCACTCACTATGTCATTTGCAGAAATTAACGTAATTTTGAAATCTAACCTGAATTACTACTAATGATCGCCTAACTTGACATTGACTGAAGCTTGAAAAAGCAGTAGATTTGAAAAAAGAATCCCAGGAGAAAAGATTACGAGTTGTCTTCAGCCCATAAAGTCAGTGTTTGCTAGTTTGAATCATGCGTCTACAAGTGCAGATATCCGTAAAATCTTTGTATTGTTGTCCAACAGTCGGAAAGGTTTGATAACATAGCACCAAATCGAGAACAGTGATATAGTTGTATTCATTCTCCCTCTTCTCATAAATCTTGGGCTGAGTAACATTGACCAAAGTAAGGAATATAAACTATTGGATACAAACTTAGTAGTCTAAAGGTTACGCAATTGCATTGAATCCCAGATGAATCGGTGGATGCATACTGCTGGTGAGTTACATAATAAGGAGAGACATCCATTGTTCAGTTTTTCCTATTGAACCATATTTCACCTATTTATGCTTGTATAATAGTTGAAATTAATTCTCATCATCTTGTCAACCATGGTTGTAGATATTCTAATGTGTAAAGTTTAGAAAACTGAACTAATACACATTTATGCAAGGTCCTAACGCCTATTGCTTATTGATGTTAAGTTAAAAAACATAGATCGATATAAAAGGATAAGTAGATAGTACAATGTATTGCATGTGATATGGTCTCATCAAAGATTACAGTTTGACATTTTAAACAATTAAAAAAAACAAATATCAATAAAAGATTCCTTAGTGAGAAAAACAAGAGAGAAAGAGAGATAGAGTTCAGTTAATTATCCACCAGAAAAAATAGCGTTGAAGGGAAATGGAGTGGAAAATCTTACTAGAACATACAAAAGGAAAGAATAGGCAAACACTAACAATGCTAACAATAACTGAATACGTAAGCAGGGGGAGAGTCCGTTCTCCCTCTTCAAATGCTCTCACATGGCCACGCGTTTACAGCCACTGAAAGAGAAGTCTTACAGTCTTCTCATGGTGGGGGTGTTTTTTTTTAATGAAATTGAGAGGACGAAAAACGAATGTCCACCGGGTTGGTGGATATGGATGATCTATCAAGGGGAGTTGAAAAACCCTGGTTCTAAACCAATGGTGCACATGGGCTTTAAAATCATGAGGGGACAAATGGCGTATGAACCTATTGTTGGTCATCAGCTACCATAGGACTGTATCTCCTAACGTCGCTCCACTGCCTTGTGGATTAGACCTTCAGGTCAAAGGTTGACGTTGTGGCATATATATGTTTGGTGCCTTCTTGTACCTATGTTTGTGTTTTTAAATAAATAAAATATTACTATTATTATTACTACTACCACCATAATCCTTTGTTAAGAACTGCTTACATATCAAAATAGATTAGATAAAATCTTACCGACACGTTTTGGTATCATCTGTTTATAATTTGTTAATATATTGAAATTATTCATTTGTACACTGAACAACTTTTGATCATCACTACTGTTATTAATAGGATTATTATTATTAATATTATTACTAGTAGTAGTGGTAGTAGTAGTTGTAGTAGTAGTAATATGTTGATTTTGATGCCAAAATGTTGATGACAATGATGGCATTGATGACAAATAGGGAGCTGACAATGATGATGATTGAATGGAGTAAGAGAACATTGCATGTCTAACAGCTTCTAATAAATTTTCTAAAGCTTTCCTTGAATTCTCAGATGTTTGTATTAAACTATTGTTATTATTATTGTCATTATTTCTAGGCTGATTATGTTGTTCTGTTTCTAATGTTACTGAATTTGATAAAGTTGATGAGTGATTATTACTGCTGGATGGATTATATTCTGATGTGGTTTTATCATTGAATTGAAGTTGGGAAATATGATTAGTGTTAATAGATGTTGAAGGAAGTGTCATCGGTAAACGATCGCTTGAAATACCTGAAATTTAATAGAAAGAAATATATATACATATAATATAAAAAAAGCTTTTGCATGACCAAATAGAAATTTCTACAATGATGGATACATAATCATCTGATTGTAAAGTACGAGGAATGTTATAGTTATATAATATACCCTTGTGGGCCAGGGTAATTTTACATTGGTTTTCAGGAGAACCAGACACCATCCGGACTTTCACGTAAAAACCCAAATAGTACAGCTCAACCCCGTTTAACAGGGGAACCAGACACCGTATAGGCTTTAACGCTACAATCTGAACAGTACAGCTTAATCCTGTGGCGCAACCACACAGATACCAAGCACCCTGGTGGACCATTCGCACCACTCATATACACATTCACATCACATGTATAGTTATTCCGATCAATGATTGCGTGAATCAATTATGCACAGCAGGAACAGGGCAAGGTTGACCTATTCCGCTTACACGACAGTCAAATGAATGAAATCGGTTAACCAGCAAACCAATTTTTTGCATGAACAGTCAGCAAAACTTGCCAAAGCAATGCCGAACCATCCATAATAACAATGGCGAAACTCCAGCCTCATATGAGACCTTCGGCTCTACATAGCCATATAGCTTATACTGCATACAACATATATGTAGGGTAGTAAGTGAAATAGCCAAGCCTGGAGCGTCAGGGCTTAAATAACGCTTAAAACCCACTGTCTGATGCCGAAATACTATAACTAGACCACCAAGATCATTTTTATCGCATTTGCGAAATTTTCATTTTTCCGACTTTTCAGACCCTGAGTTAGGGGTAGTATTATAATATACTGTTTAGATATGATGAAAGGTAATTAATAGATTTAAATATCTACAAACTTTAATACATTTAGACGAATGAGATGTATATTCAGCCTTTGTCTATTAAATAATGCTTAGCTGACTAGTACAGGTCAAGGGTGAATGAAGAGTACAATAAGAAAATCAACGCTAAGTAACAGTTCATGAAATTGGTCAGAGTACTGAACGTATATTTATTTCTTATTTCATACTTTTATTTGTTTGAACACATAAACATCGGTACAAGAGGGCATCAAATACATATGCCCCATACAGTTACAATGAGGCCATTAGTAGTTATCATTGATTTGTAGTCCGAGTATATTGCTTCGATGTGTATTATTACATAAGTTTATATAAAATAGATTAAATATGGTCAGTAGTGAAATTCAAGATAAGGGTTTCACCATCTGCTTGGAATACATCAGTCAGATTTACCTGCTTCCTAGAGCTGGTGTTAACTGAATTCAGTAACTCATTGAATAACGCTTTGATGTTTAAAACAAAAGGTAATTAGTTTGAGTTCCGGATCGAATATCAACTCTGGAATACAGGTCAATCCAGCTGACGAGTCAAAAGCAGAATGAAACATGCGTTCTAGATCCCATCGCTACTCATATTTCACCTATTCTATCTAAATTAGTGAATGTTTTATAATTTGTGACTTTTTATCAATACGCACAACAGAACTTCCAGGTCTAATGTGTTATACTTAGAATACGTAGTTGGAACGAACTTCAGTCAGTGACCACCATTATTTATTGGGATTAGTGCTACTTGCTGAAAATATTGGTCTACAATATGTTAACCACCCTTATAAGTATTGGATACAAATAAATGTTTAACTCAATTAGTCAGTCATGTATAATGTAGAACCCAGTATATGTACGGATCGATTCAAGTTGCTACACCACATTAGAAAAGCGAGATGAAATTATCAAGAAAATTGTCAGAGTAATAAAAGCAGTAACAGTCAAAAAGATCAGATAGAGTTAGTATGAATTGATCGAAAAGAATAAATTACCAGAATAAATAAAAAAACATGGAATAATTTCGAAGACAGAGTGAATCCATCTACATCTTTGGAACTGATTTTGATCCATGTCATCTAATATCCCCAAGCAGTGATTACAAGCAAATATATCTAATTGTGGTCTAGCTTCAATTGACTTATGATCTCAACTGTTGAAATTACTACAATCTCCATAAAACCCCTTCCGATATCTACTTGTCTATCATCATCCATTACAAGTTATATGATCACATTGAAAAATCAAAATGAAAATAAACAATGATGGATTAGATGAGAACAAAAATACAATCAGTCTATGAGGGGGATAAGGAGCTGAGAAAGAAGAGAATAGAAAATAAAAAGTAGAGTATTAAGATCATTTATGCTAATCTACACATTTAAATCAGACATTTATTATGATCATTATTGAGATTACCACTAGTACTACTACCACTAACCATAGCAATCGTGGCGAAAATCGAGATAAATAATGAGAGGGTGTGGAGCAATTAATTTGAAGATTTATATGAACATAAATCATTGACTGAAAATGTTTGTAGTCATACCACTGTTTTACTTAAAAAAAAAAGAAGTTTAGCAAGCCCCATTTTTAAGTAAACTTTGTTTAGAAGAGTAAGAGATGAAAACGGACTCAAGGAGAAACTAAGTATATATATGTACAGAGAGAGAGGGAGGAATCATATTCTATAGTCGATCTGATAAATTAAATTAGTTTCACCCACTTGACTAGAAAGATATAGATCTAAATCTGATGTTTAGCTTATATGAATAATAATGATAGAATCAAACGAAAGGATAATATTTTGATTTAATTTGAAATGGTTTGGATAATCCCTTTGTTGATATTTTTGACAGAAATTTGATCAGTCTAGGTTGGCATAAAAACATCTTGAATGGCTATCCGAACTCAACAGCTAGGTGTATGACGCGATGGCGTTCAAAGTAAACAGTAGTTGCTCTGGAGTGAGCATCAAATATGGAATGTAGGCAAATACAGGGGACGAGCCCTAAAACAGGACAAAATGCGCATCTTGGATCCTACTGCTAGCTATATTCTATTTATTTTATATCAATAGTACCTAAGCTTTTGTGAGAAAAAGTCCGAATAATTATGGTAATATGGAAGAGAGAAAAAGAGAATGAATATTTTTGGAGCTGACTGACAAAATGTATTTTTAATTGATTATTATTCACTAGTAAAGTGTAGACGTTTGAAGATATGGCTTTGAATTAGTCACAATTCGACAGTTATATTTGTTCTCTATCATGTTTAACAGCCTGGGTTCCAGTGTTCTTTTAAACAAACATTTTATTCTGCCTTTTTGAATCATATTCTCAGTTTCTTAGCCTTCGATATCACTGTTGCTACCATATTACTTTAATATTTTTCATGTCGTGCTAATGTGGTACGGCAGCTTTTACCAAAGCATATTTAATTACTAATCACAAGTAAACACCTTTTCTGTGACTGTTTAGTGAAGTAATGGACAGTTAATTTCACAAGCGTAGAGATGTCCAAACATTCTAATCGAAATTTTCTAAATAACTGATTAATTTTAATATGGAAGTTTGTGGGAAATGTTGAGTTTTCATAGTATAAATCAAGGATTGATCTTAGAGAGGCAATCATCGATAATCAAGAAACACTAGACAGCTGTTTCATTCTAGTGTGTGGCTCACCAATAGTGTGTATCCACAATCACACTGGGGGTTAGACCCAGGCTTTGCGGTGAGCAACTAATTCGTACTGGGACGAAAGAGTTTCCTGCTTTCAGATGCTTGTCATACTAAAATTAGTCCGTGATATAAATTGTTTTAATGGTTCCCAAATAGAACATATTTTCCTCTTTCTTCTGACGGTCGACTGGATTGTGAAGACTTGAACATCTGAGAAAAAGCACGGAATACAATGGACAGCTCAGAAACAATTTGTACTTTGCAGATGACCTAGTCCTACCATCCTATACGCACGAACAATCGCAGAGGAAGTCAACTAGTGTAGCAGCAGCCTCTGCGTCAGTAGACCTCAACATACACAAGGGGAAAACCAAGGTCCTCAAATACAACACGGAGAACACCAACCCAATCACACTTGATGATTATTTCGTCTGGTAAGCAACCAGCACTCAGTTACACCATATCATGGCGTATATATTTATCAATCTCATTCTATTCATTCATTTTACTAACAGAAAAAATATTCACCAAACTTCATAACTCATTCATACATAATAATCATGTGCTCACTAATGACTGCCTTCAAGATGCAACTCCTGGAGTTCTAGTGAGAAACCGTGACTAATACAGTTCAACCATGTTAGAAATAAGACTGCAGGAAATGAACGAGGGTTGCGCAATATCGCGGATTGATTAAATTTAAACGTTAAGGCCGTTGGATGCCGGGTCAGTGCTCTAAAAATTAAGCATTCGTGAACGAGATTGAAGGTTTCGGGTTCAGTTTCCAAATGCGAATTCGTGGATGAGCACATCTAAAAACAAAATGATCGTTCAGAGTTCCCAAGTTTTTAATGGTATTCTAACTAAGATCAACATAGGATTTAAACTATGATCATTCATATACCTTGAAAATAATTACAAGTAGTATAACTACAACCCACAAATGATTTATTCAAAAAAGCAATGATAAGTAATGCGATTAGGATAAGAATCTACAGACAGCTATATAGTGGAAAGTAGAAGTTTTCATATTCAATTTGGAATATTGGCTGAAATATGAGACAAACAAGAGACTAAGTGGTGGAATGTAATAAAAGCACACAAGTATTTTATTCACATAACCAGTAATTTCAAGAACTCGAGTGATCTGTGTGAAACGTAATGTGATATTATACAAATTGACTGGATTAGTAATTTATTGCACAATGAAATTAAAACTCTCATAAAATCACTTAATTATAACAAATATGTAGTATGAAATTCATAACATAAAGAATTGAATGATTTTTTGTCTCAAGTTGAAACTCCTCAAAAGTCTCTAGATTTACTACTACACAAACAATAGAATCCAAAACCATAATTTTACTGAGTTATCGCAACGGTAGATTCCAAGCGCTACTAAAAAACTCAAGTTTGCAGGTCCTGTTCGTCACAAAGTGATCTTAGTTAGGGTACCGTTAAAAACTAGAGAGCGCT